TCACCCTCTACAACTCACTCCCTATCGACACCACAACCCAACCTCGCAGAAATTCTTACCGAAACAATGCATCCAGTCTTCTTTTGAGCAGTACCTGCTCCTGCTCCGTGCATCCCCCTGGTTTCTGATATCTCGAACGTGTACTTAAAGGGGAAGTCCGGTGAAAAATTTAAATTTCAGGGTCGGTAGAGTTTCGGCCGCTGAGTCGAATGGTGTTGGTCCCACGTGTCTCCGACAAAGCGTTCTCGAGATATTTCCGTTTGAAAAACTGAGTTTCGGGGGCTGCGCCATGACGTCATGCGGCCGCGCCACACCCTCTGCAACGTCATAGCGTGCAGCTAGGTCAAAAGGAGTGCGTGAAAGCAATAGTGTCAGTGCTATTTCAAATGATTTGGCGACTGATATTAGGTGGTGCAAGCGACCCCGAAGACATGTAACTCCTTGTGAGAGTGAGGATGCAGCCATGGCTGACCTTCACGAGTTCGGTCTGGGGCTGAGAACCTAGTCAGCTGAAGAAATGGCCGCGCGGGCCGGTCAAGAGTGAGCGCTACTGAGTTTCCGACTGATGAAGGAGCAGCAGCTATTGCAGACGAGGCTGATGTAATTATCAGATCGCTGGAGAGCAGGGTCGCCAAAATGGAGAAGAGTGATGCGAGTGCTCTAAATGTTGTTCCATACCGATTAGATTCGCTTAGACTCCAGTAGCCTGCCACATGGTGATGTTTTGGTGCGAACTTGGAATATTTCGGACTACTCAATTGGAGAACAGTGCAGGCTCTTTGAACCACGGGCACGACTCTTCGCTCGCAACGCTATGGAATCTGAAAGTTCTAGGTCCGAGAGCTGTTCGCTGTTTTGTCACTTGTCACGGTTGTGCACTCATCGCTGTAGCATAAAATAATGAGGCGCCGCGGGTGCGGAAAACTAAAATTTTCTTTCTCAAAGCACAACCACCGGCACCGGCAAGGAGAAACGCACGTTCTCTGACTACATGACTGTACGACTGATACGAGTGCAGTACATGACAAGTCCGTGTGTTGACTAGTTTTCTGAGTCTTGTGTCAGTTGTGACATGAGTTTGTTGACTGCACTACAGCTAGATAACACACTGCACGCACTGCATGCACGCAGCGCAGAGCGCATAGACCATGTAGACCATGGTAGACGGGCTAACGGAAAAGTCCAACTCGGAAACGGCCAAAATACGGTATAACCTCCAGGTTTACCGAGCTGAACATCACAGGGTACGTAGTGTTTGTAACACTGAATCGAATGGTCTTGGTCCGAAGAAGCTGCGGTAAACGGTTCCCCAATCGAACGCGCTCCGAATATGGCCATTTTTGTACACAACTAGATGGTGTGGCTACCTGGCTGCACGCTGTGACGTCATCACCTGGATCTGGGTGATGCGCGCTCAAATTCGCACATGTTCGATTGGGCGTATCTGACGAACCATAAGCCGCAGCCTCCTCGGACAAAGACCATTCGACTCAGCGCCCCGAACTCTACGGACTGTGAAATTTAAATTTTTCACCGGACTTCCCCTTTAACTATCTCGATCACCCCTGCTAACGGTATTGCCCCCGCTTGTTTTTCCTGATCCATTGCTTATTGCCTCCCCGGTTAATTTCTATCTAACTGTTTCTGGCTAGTACCAGTTCTATCGCACTTAGCAATCATCCTTATTGGCGTCTCGCCATCGTGGAATAATAGAATGATAAGTACAGGTTCCTGCACGAGTATGAGGGCAGTACCGCGGAATCCAGCCCGCGCCGCGATAGCGGCAAGGGCTGGATGAGCATCGGTACTGACCGAGTATGAGTGACTGGAACGTGTTTCCCGTATGCACCCAAGCCAAGGAGATCACTCACAATCTTTGACGTTTGAGTTTACATGAACAATGAATTCTGAATTTCTGTGACTTGACTCGAGTCCTGTATGAGGCTGTGTCAGTGTGAGCTGAGTGAGAGTGACTTCGACAACCGGACACGGACTACAGTACGTACAGGTTCCTGCACGAGTATGAGGGCAGTACCGCGGAATCCAGCCCGCGCCGCGATAGCGGCAAGGGCTGGATGAGCAGCGGTGCTGACCGAGTATGAGTGACTGGAACGTGTTTCCCGTATGCACCCAAGCCAAGGAGATCACTCACAATCTTTGACGTTTGAGTTTACATGAACCATTCTGTGACTTGACTCGAGTCCTGTATGGCTGTATGAGGCTGTGTCAGTGTGAGCTGAGTGAGAGTGACTTCGACAACCGGACACGGACTACAGTACACGACTTTTGCATGTACTTTCAGACCACAGAAGCTTGTCATTGAAATGGTAGACTCATGAGTGGATTCTGTCCACTGCCCGTCGTCAAGTGACGACGGGCAGTGGATTCTGTCCACTGCCCGTCGTCAAGTGACGACGGGCAGTGGATTCCGTCCACTGCCCGTCGTCACTTGACGATGGGTAGTGGAACTAGTTCCATCACCATTCATCAGGCAGGATCGCGCTTTCCAGCCCGCGTAATTTGATCTGTCATTGGTCGACTCCAAGGCGACAGTCATGTGACATACGGGAAACGACTTTTGCATGTACTTTCAGACCACAGAAGCTTGTCATTGAAATGGTAGACTCATGAGTGGATTCTGGCCACTGCCCGTCGTCAAGTGACGACGGGCAGTGGATTCTGTCCACTGCCCGTCGTCAAGTGACGACGGGCAGTGGATTCCGTCCACTGCCCGTTGTCACTTGACGACGGGCAGTGGACTAGTTCCATCACCATTCATCAGGCAGGATCGCGCTTTCCAGCCCGCGTAATTTGATCTGTCATTGGTCGACTCCAAGGCGACAGTCATGTGACATACGGGAATATTATTTACTACATCTCAAGTCTCAGAGGAAACACTGAACAATGTGAATCGAGTGAGTAGTAGTAGTAGTAGTAGATTTTATTATTTTACTAGGGGAGTGATTGCAAACCACAGACATACTTCCTCCGGAAACACAAACTTCGTGGCCTTTTTAAGGCATTTCCCAAATCAGCTTTTCGATAATCAGCTTTTCGATCGGCTAATTATGAGCCCCAAAGTCAAAATTCGGCTCTAAGCATCCTACTATACGATCTCGGTGATGCCTGAAAGTCGCAGTCACCTTTCGCAGTTTAATGGTTACAGGGATTGTATTCGCATGCTGTTGAGGCACAAAACATCGATTTTTGGCTAATTCAATGCCAAAATTGCATATTCAGCGAAACTATCGGTGATTTCTCCAAAACCACAGTTTTCGGCTAATTTTTCGGCCGGCCGATTTGGGAAATGCCTACCTTTTTTCACCAGTATAACACAATGTTCACCCTGTACTGTCTCTCTCTCTTTCTCTCTGCCTCTCTGTTTCTGTCCACCATAAACACTGACATGACATTTCTGAATGGAAAGAAAGCATGATTTACATTATGGAGAGCCGACAGTCGTCCCAAAGCAACTGTGTCGAAGCTGCAAACAAAGCAAAGCCAACATATTTTCCATTCTCGTCCTCCCGGCGCAATGTAAACAAACGCACTGCGCTCACTGGTTGTCATTGCTATCATTCTGTTCAGAACTTGAAAGAAGCGGACAATGGTAGCGAGGAGCAAGAAGAGCGGAAAAGCAATCGCATTAAAAGCTAACGTTTTTGAAATCTTCCCCATCCCCGAAACGCCTGTCGGCAAGCGAACAGCTCACAAAGCCGTCGCAACTCCAAAACGCATCGATTTGACAATCGTCACTTCGAACAGCAGTGCAATGAACAAGTTCAAACAAAATCTCCGTGACATACATCATCGCATCGATCGACCTGCCACTTTGGACGGTTTCAGAGGTGACGAATCGAGCGGTGGCAACCATGATTGATTTTTTTTCTCCCATTAATCGATCTGGTAGATGTTGTAGAAATGTCCATTGTAATTGTTGAAGTGTTTCTATTGCAAAAGAACACTTTTGTTGAGAACAGTAACTCCTTGAAAAGTCATATAAAAATGTCACGAAGTCTTTTTTTCCGGACGAAGTACATCTATACAATCATATCGACTGCATTAATAGGGTCCCCAGGAGACGGCGTGTTGGGCCAACTCCTCCCGATTCGTATTTGAAAAATATTTAGCTTTTCAAACATTATCTTTCCCATGACAACTAGCGTAATGAGAGTTCCCGGGATTCTCCGTGTCTCGCTCCTGCGACATAGATCAGAACATACATAATGTGAATGTGATTCCACTTTCAAGGAGATCAAATTGAATAGAAGTCCAGAAAAAATTAAACTATGAAGTTGGCACGAAAGTGCCTTTATAACTATTTGACGTTGCATATTGCAACAACTGGTGGATGCCGTGGCGTACATATCGTACAAGATTTTACAGCTCACCCCAGCCATCCTAACAGGCCTTTTATTATTGCACCTGACAGTGCCTGCCACGGGATGATATACATCATATGAATAGTATTGTGTCGCAGCTTGAAAGCTCTATTTTGGCCAAACCAAACGCTGGATTTCCTTTTTCCCAACAATGTGAAACCTAGTTCGAGCGACCTCTGGTTTTAGCAACCACGTGACTTTAACGACCGCTTTTGCTTGCATCGTGAGGTGGTCGTTTAAATCAGGTTTTACTCTACATTTTCCGGGGTACATTTGCGACAAATAGTTTCCAAATGGCCGCCGGGTGTGTCGCAACTTCCTAAATGTAATAGTTACTCCGTTAAATGTAGAAAGGAAAGGACATATGGATAAGAGTTAAGAGTAACTCTCCATCACTGTAACTGGATACTATAATCATAAAGTCAGAAGTGCAATAACTAGACACAAAACTGACAGAAGACTGAGACATTCGACATCCTGACATCTGGCTTCAACACATCTCCTTTCTGACTGTATATAGTATCTAGTTACAGTGATGGAGAGTTACTCGTAACTCGTATCCATGTCCTTTTCCTTTCTACACTTATTTATGGCTCAACATCCGAGTTTCAAGTTACTCTGTTAGATATAATAACTTGACAGCCATGAATTTGGGCAGCGCAAGCAAAATGAGTTTAATTGAAACTAAAACTAGTTTGCATGTAAATCAACTGAGCGTCCACCCGAAAGGTGGAAGCTGTGCAGCAATACAAAACAAAAACAAAAAATTTGACGAAGGGAACAGAAAAAAGCAATCTACACATTCATTGGCATGGAATACAACTTGAATGCTGAGATTGTTGCGGAAAAAAGCTGCACTATACTTCAACTGGCTACTGACAACGCGGAAATACGAGCGAGTTGTTGTAATGCGTTAATCATGTATTTTAAAATGCACAAAAGAGAGTTAGAGACGGACATACGGAGAGACGGGCGGACAGGCAGACAGACAGACAGAAAAAGAATATAGAAGAGAAGGTACTCGTAATGCGAAAAACTGACAAACATGTATAATGAACGAATCAGGATCAAAAGGCAGCTATATTGCAGGCATCTTCCTCATCCCGTGCTCTTTAGAATGCTCTCTTCCATACGTGGTTGCACTTGACTCCCCGAAAGGATGTCAGAGTCGACATATTATGTCGGTGGATCTATTAAAACCGAACAACCGTGTACCTGTCATATTTCAAACTAGTAGTAATCTTTGTATACTCGGAAAACGCTCCTAGATCGCTGGTATCTGGATAGAAAAAGACAAAGGATTTAATCATGTTGTAAGTTATCGACTGACGACTCTGTAATAAGAACGTAGAAGGGGAAAGGACATACTGTACAGTCCATTTCAAAGCTATAGACGCGTAGGATTTTTGAAATATTTCAAATTTGGCTGGAGCTTTTTGAGAATAGTTTTAGGAATATTGCTCAGGTCCGCTCCACAATTACTCTCGCATAGTTTCTAAATGATTGGATAACAGACGCCCAATTTGGAAAAATGTATGCACAAAGTGAACACAGATTTCAAGTGGTACAGATGCTGGCATAACGGTTTTTGCCTAGGTACGCATCTGGAGTTTTGAAAAGGACTGTAGTGTCTTGAAGAAAGCCTAGTTCACATTCGACGGGGCGCGACGGGACGCGACGTAAGGATCGACGGGAAGCGACGGGATGGTCTGACGGCGTCAAATGAGAACACCAGGAACGGGAACGCAACCGTACTACCGTACAGATCAGGAAGCGACGGGAAGAGTTGGATCGATCCAACTTTTCATACCGTAGACGGGCGTAGACGGGGACGCAAGCGTACAAAACGGCTGCAATTCGAGTGTGAACAGGAGACGGCGTCGTGCGCCGACTGCTCCTGATTCGTACTTGGAAATTTTTAGCATTTCGAACACTGCGCTTCCCATGATAACTCACAGAATGGCTAGCACGACTTGAGTTGAATTTTAGCAACATAAGATCTCATGTCACTTATTGTATTTAGGGATAGTTCAGAAGCGTGACAGACGAACTATTCTATCATTTCCTGGGGCTATTATTTGAATGCCACAACTTTCAGGGCTAATTTTTTGGTCTTCACGAAAAACTGGTATTGTGAACTTGATTCCGCTTCTTTCAAGAAGATATAATTGAAAAGAAGTCCCGAAAAACGAGAAATTAGGTCCAAAAGTCACCCCGTCACGGACCGTGCCTTATGACTCGCGCCGTTCGACGGTGAACGTCGCAACGACTGCTGCATGTCGTGTCGTACGAATCGTACAGGATTTTACAGCTCACCCCAGCCCTCCCGACAAGCCCTTACGTCCCGTACCGTCGGCGTTGCGTCGAATGTGAACTAGGCTTAATAGCCTGCCTCGTATGGAAGCCTTTTTTGAGTACAAGCCTGTACTTATAAAGAAACACTGGCAGCATATAAGCCTGGTTTAGTGTAGACATACATAGAGATACCTGGTTTGAATATAAGCCTGACTTGAATACTGTAAAAGCCATATTCAAATAACGAAGTGCTAACTCTAACGAGTTAACGAGTAGAAATCTGTCGTTAAAATAGAAATCGTTACACAGAAATCGATACATATACTGTCCTGTTGAGCGTTGAGAATAAGTGAGAATCGTTACCTTTGGTACACCTAAACCAGTCAATTTGGGGAAATCGTTATTATTATATACGCCTCGTTAGAATAATGGCTTTTACAGTAGAGGCCTAGCACTGACATCGGCTTCTACAGGACTAGGCACGGCTTTAATATGCGACATCACCGTATGGATATGGGTTAAGAGTAACTCTCCACCATTGTAACTAAACACTATATACAGTCAGAAAGTGCAACAACTAGGCGCAAAAACTGAGACATCCAACGACCTGACTTCAAACTTATTAGGGTAGAGCTCCGTCACGAGATAGTTGGTCCCCAATGCCAGTGTCCGTCTCATTGATTCGTATAACAGGGAAGAGCATGGCCTGACTGTATGACACCTTATCGCCTTCTTAGTATTTGACCGCATTGATTTCCCTGATACATAAGCGGTCACATATATTGCGTATTCGACTGCCTAGGTACTTATATTGGACTCTTTAGAACTCTTGGACTTAGACATTTTGAACAAAATAGAAATAAATACGAGGGTTTTCCAGCCCACAAACATGCGAGTCTCAGTCACTCTTCCTTACCACACAGTCACTGTGTTATGGAAGCTGAACCTAATGATCTTGATCCTGCAATGCCGTACCAGGCGGTATAAGCTATTGCATAAAACTAACATTAAATGCTTACGTCGTATATATAGAGACTTCGCCTGGAGAATCCGATAAATAGATTATAGACCTAATAGTCGGTCTATACAGGATACATAGACCGAGTACAAGATCGAGGTCCCCCCGAGGTCTTTCACGACCTCCTTAACGGTCTATCCTCTATAGGTGTGCGGCACACGTTGATGATAAGTGATTTTTATTCGTGTTCTACTGATTCGCCTCTTTTGAAGGTATCGCGGGAAGTCAGGTGAAAACACCTATAGCCACCATTCTGGGAGTCGTACTGCACGAGGAAGAGGCAAAGGCGATTTTCAAAATTGGGCCTATGGAATAAGAAAAATCGAGAAAGTGCCACTAGCCTGGAGGATATGAGAAATGTTGACGTTTTGCAGGAAGACGCACTCGCAAATGCGCCCTGAGACACCAGCAGCGATGAAAACCAGGCGACCAGCCCGAGAAACGATACAGTAGTTATCTATCTCTTTGTTGAATTTTTAGTTCTAGTGCTCATGTGTACATGTGCTCGAGTTTTGAAGTGAAACGCACATTTTGATAAGTCGGACCAAGTATGTGGTAGCGGAAACTCCAAGCTATCCAATGCAATAATCGGCGCAGAGTTACAATCGGGAAGTTTGACTCTACTTAATTACGTGCCGTATGTCCGCGCCTTTGAAGCCATGGATGTTTATTCGATTACAAAGCCTGTCTTGGTGATAAAGCCTTGGGCTTCATAAAGGAAATGACATTTTGAAGTATGTTGTGTAAAAATGAAGGAATAAATACTATGCTGACAACTTACATCCCAGCAGGAAGGGTGAACAGGTGGATTTAGTTTGAAAACCCTGTCGGGACTTTGAACATGACAGCATGGTGTAGTGCGTGAGTCAATATACATCTAAAATATCTAGGAAAGCACCGGTGTGTCGAATATAAGGCCATGGCTTTAAAGTCACTGACATACGGTATGAAAATCCGTGTGCTGTACTCGCCGGGGATCGAGGGCAAACTTTCGGGCGCAAAGTCTATGGATAAGAAACACATCGGGGGACTTACGAGTGCAGAAGACCTCTAAGTCGGCTGATGAATGTGTTTCAACGCTGGTGTCTCGGACGGCTTCCCACTCCACAACCTTGCCCTCCTCGCGCCGAGGTGTAAATTTCGCAACATATGTCGCGTTAATCCCAGGGTTTTCAACTAGAATATAGATAGGTTTGTTTCCCATCATTTCCGTCAACATCTTGTCAACAGGCTTCTTGACAACGGGATCATAAAGTTCGTCGAGGTAGAAGCTTATGTCAAAGATGCGTGATTCGTGTCTCGATCGACGGTCACGCGTGCAAGCTTCCTGAGGAGTATTCTCCCCAATGCGCTCCACGCCAAAGTAGTGCAAACCGTAAGCCTTGCCACCTCTATACACCTTCATGTGATCTGTGGGGAAAAGAGACAAAAGTACATAGACAGTAACGGCAATCAATAAGACAAGCTGAATCGACATTTTGTGCACACTTTATTCATGCAATGTAAAACGGTGGAGACAATGTGCAATAAAACGATGGAAATATGAAGATATTGCGTAGAGGAAAATAAGGATTCGAACAAGCTCTCATACAACACCCATCAGGAATCGCCATTGTACAAAAATACACTGACACAAAATTGAACTATTATAGAAAATCTAAGTTAGAGAAATTACACTACACACTGTACTACAAACTTTAGTCGACTCTTGCCCTTTCCAAGGCAAACCTATTTAAAATAGATGGGACAACAAGCAGGACCAATCACAGGAGCCTTAGTGGTTTGTTCGACTTTCAACGTCTTCTCAAACAAAAACTCAGGGTGCCCGTTCTGCACGAAAATTGACCGGAGAAAATCAAGCTCCTCCTGCAGCTTGCAGGACGAACAAATTAATATGCTTCGCACGATCTACAAAGTGACGCACTAAGTTTACTTTGTATTGAGACGAACAATAGCAGTCATATGCAATGTACTGACCAGTAAACGTTGGCTTTCAATAAACGGTTGTCAGAACGTCACTACTCGTTTTTTCCACAAGCACATCTAGAAATGACAATTTGCTGGACTGTTCATGCTCACATGTGAAACGAAGGGCAGGGTGAATACTATTTAGCACGTCTAGAAACTTGTTAACGCTCCTCGTTATCACAATATGTGAACGAGTCGTCCACGAAACGTACATAAAGGTCAGGCGATAATGAATCATCAATTTTCGACTCACAGTAATCGACAAACACGTTTGCCAATACTGGACCAAGAGGCGAACCCATCGCGACACCATCAACTTGTTTATATGTAGAGCATGCAGATTCTTCAACCTTGTACCTGTTGCATTGTAGTCAAGTGCCTGTGTCACTGTAGCTTGGTGTGTTAAAACCTGTACAGTCATAAGACTAGTATCCTTTGCATGTGAAGTTCGAACCTACCTTTTTCAGAAGCTTTCCTTTTTTTCTTTACTTTCTTCCAATACATGTCTTCTGATTGGCCGAATCTGTGCCATCTCTCTATCTCCTGATTGGTCTAAACCGTTGCTCGTTGTTATGTGAAACCTGAACTCTCTTAGTCTTGGCACATATAAAAAGCTCTGTCTCTGAAGAAAGATCATCCTTCATTTCTTCAACCACTTCTCCTTGCTCTGGTGAGACTTGTTGGTTGTTGTGTGCCCAACCACTTGGGCCACGCTACAACTGGTGGCAGCGGTGGATGTTTCGGGTTTTTTTTTTCATGCTATGTTTTTGTTGTTGTGACAATGTGAAGTGATTCCTGGTTCGGAATGGCCCAAACACAGCCTAACCAGCAAGTACCGCCGGCCCAGCCCCGTCCGGCCCAGCCTGCTCAGCCAGCTCAGCCAGCCCAGCCAGTTCAGCCAGCCCAGCCAGCACAGCCAGTTAAGCCCGCCCAGCCAGTGCAGCCAGCCCAGCCAGTGCAGCCCGCCCAGCCAGTTCAGCCCGCCCAGCCAGTTCAGCCCGCCCAGCCAGCTCCCGTTCGACCCATCCGGCCATGGGCAACTCCGGAACGTTTTGATGGTGGAGCAGCCTCGGACTGGACTACTTGGCGTGACCACTTCACTCAAGTTTGCCTGGTTAATCAGTGGACGCCGCAGGACCAGGCACAGTACATCCCGTTGTACTTGATAGATAATGCGCAGTGCTACTACCAGTCGCTTCCTGTCGCGACACGCCAGGATGTTCAGCAATTACTGGTAGCTCTGGAGGGTCGGTTTGCTCCACCCGTCAGGACCGACCTCCACAGAGCGGAATTGAAGGCCAGACGACAGCGAGGTGAGGAGGCGTTGTCTGATTACTGCGAGGCGATTCGCCGATTGTCTCGCAGAGCGTACCCTATCTTGCCAAACCTCGTGCAGGACCAGCTGGCATGTGACCAATTCATTGAAGGTCTGGACAGCAGAGAGTTGCGCATGGAGGTACGTCGCCAAGACCCCCGAACTCTTGACCAGGCACTGCAGCAAGGACTTCGAGCACTTGCCATACTCCAAGCGGACGCTACTACTAGTGCGTCTCAGCCAGTGGCCGCGGCTGTCTGTGCTGCCAGGGAAGATCGTTTGGATGCCTTATTAGTAAGGATGGAACGATTGGAAACCGCTCTGTCTTCTTTGCAGCGACCGCAGCAGCAACCCCAGCAGCAACCCCAACAACAGCGCCGCTGTTACCATTGTGGGAGTGCCGAACATCTGATTGCGTACTGCCCGACTGCACCTCCACCCCGGGGACAACGTCAGCGCCCTTCGGGAAACGGCCGGGAGTTGGCATAGAGGGTCCAGAGTCAGCTCCAAACCACCATGGCCCGGAAGTGCTGCCCGCCGCGCCTTCCGATGTAGTATGCCATTCCGTTGCTGTTGACAGTTGCCAGTATGTAATCGGCAAAGTAAGTTCAATGTGCATAACTGATGTCCACATGTTAGTTGATTCTGGAAGTTCGATTTCGTTTGTCAGCTCAGCATTCTATCAACAACATAAGCATATAAAATTAAACAAAATTTCTACATCAGTCCGAAGTGTTGATGGCAGTGGCGTGACTGTGGAAGGAGCGGTGGATGTGCAGCTAGAGTTTGGCAGCCTCCAACTTCAGCACACTATGGTAGTTGCGAACATTGAGCCTGACGTACTATTAGGCATAGACTTCCTCCGTAGGCACGGTTGTATTATGGATCTGGGACAAGGCTGTCTGCGCTTGAGCAATCAGACCCTTCCATTAACACAGGGAGTTGGGCCCAAGCACCTTTCATGTCAGAGAGTGGAAAGAGACCCCATTCCAGTGCAATTGGCTGAATCTGTTGTTCTACAGGGCTATTCTCAGTTGATAACGCAAGGTAGATTACGTGACACTGAGTTTATGTCTCCATCTTGCGGAATGGTAGAGCCAACAGAGTCGTTCGTAGATAAATTTTGTGTCAGTGCAGCTAGAGTGGTCACGACCGTGAGTGAGAACAGTACTGTTCCTGTCAGGTTGCAGAACCTGCTACCACGGCCTGTCACTATAAACAAGGGTACAGTTGTTGGCATGTTCGAATCTTGCTTTGTTGAGAAAGCCGCAGAAGCCGCGGATGAGCGTGATTGTACTGCTGAAAGCTGTAATGCTGCTGATATGTGTTCTGACCCTGTTGAGTTGTTTGACCTTAGTCATCTCGATACAGAAGAGGCAGCAGCCGTCAGGTCTCTTCTCTCGGAGTTCAGCGACATAATTTCAACGGGAGCAATGGATCTTGGCTCTACCGGTGTTGCCAAACAAGACATCGAGACCACTAGCAGCCAGCCTATTCGCCAAGCCCCTAGACGATTGCCGCTTCACCATGCCAATGAGGTTCGTGAACATGTTGAGCAGCTTTTAGCTGAGGGTTTAGTCGATCCTTCCAACAGTCCTTGGGCAGCCCCTATTGTTGTTGTTCGGAAGCCTGATGGAGCTATTAGGCTATGTGTCGATTATCGCAAACTCAATGCTGTAACTGTCAGAGACGCATTCCCCATTCCGCGGATTGATGATGCGATAGACAACATGGGTGACGCACAGTATTTCACAACCCTAGATCTTGCATCCGGTTACTGGCAGGTAGAGCTAACTAATGCAGCAAGGGCGAAATCAGCATTTGTCACTCCATTTGGATTGTTTGAATGGAAAGTCATGCCATTTGGGTTGTGCAATGCCCCAGCAACTTTCCAGCGCCTGATGACCATGGTTCTGGGTGATCTTGTGCCAAGCGTATGTTCAGCGTACATAGATGACACCATAACTTTCTCGAAAACATTTCAAGAACATCTGGTTAGACTGCGCCTAGTGTTTGAAAAATTCCGGGCAGCAGGTTTGAAGGTCAAGCCTCGTAAGTGCCAGATTCTGAGCAAGTCGGTTACGTATCTTGGGCATGTGTTCAAGGGAGGTGGTGTGAGCCCTGATCCCAAGAATTGCAGTTCGGTCACCAGTCTCAAACCACTTAGCTCTGCAACCGAGGTTCGTCGATTTGTAGGTTTTGCTTCCTACTACAGGCGGTTCATCAAGGACTTCGCGACAATTGCAGCACCGCTACACAAGCTAATGCAGAAACAGGCAAGCTTTTCGTGGACGGATGAGTGTCAGCAAGCGTTCGATATCCTGAAGCAGAAGCTCACGTCATCTCCTGTCCTGACGTACCCGGATCCATCCCGCAAGTTTATCCTGGACACGGATGCTTCTGACACTGGTATTGGTGCAACTCTATCGCAGGTTGGCGATCAGGGCAGAGAGCAGGTAATTGCGTATGCTAGTAGTTCACTTAGTAAGAGCCAACGTCGCTACGGCACAACTCGGCGTGAGATGTATGCAGTGGTCTTCTTTGTGCAATACTTCAAACATTATTTGCTGGGTGCAAACTTTACCTTGCGAACCGATCACAAAGCCCTTTTCTGGTTGAAGTCTTTCAAGGATTCGGAAGGTATCCTGGCGAGATGGTTGGAGAAACTAGAAGCGTTCGATTTCACAACTGTCCACCGTAGAGGTACTCAGCATGCCAACGCAGATGCATTGTCACGGTTCCATAGCCAACCTGCGGACAATTCGGAGCATCCTGCACCGGCCACTGCCGAGCCTTCAGTAATGGATCCAAATATTACTGTTGTCTGTCCTTCCCAGTCTTCCATTCCTGTCCCTACAGCCGTGCCATCAGTCTCTCCGGATACAGCAGCTGGTGATGCATTGACGCAGGATTCTGGACATCAAGCATACGTGGGTAATGTTGACGTTGAATCACAACCTGCAGAACATGCGAATGATGATAGCAATTTACTTGGAAGCAATTGGGCAGATTTTTTTAGTGCAGAAGATATTCGCAGAGCTCAAGCGGAAGACAGTGACATTGACTGCATGATTGGTTGGCAACAAGCATTGTTAGACAGGCCTAAACGCAGTGATGGTGCTATGAAAGGAGCATCATTAACCTTGATACGTCTGTGGAGTCAGTGGAAACGGCTGGTTCTGCAAGATGGCTTATTGTATCTTACGTACACTTCAGTAGATGGTAGCAACTCATTTCTGCAACTTGTTGTACCTGTCAGTTTGCGACAGAAAATTATGACTGGGATGCACAATGAGTGTAGTGGTGGCCACCTCGCTACTGAACGTACTCTAGAGAAGGTGAAAGCTAGATTCTATTGGCCTTTTATGTCGTCTGACATTGAGCTGCATTGCAAGGCGTGTGCGCTTTGTTCAGCTAGGCGTACCCCAGCACCAACCGCTCGCGCTCCGATGAAGGTGGACCAACCATCCTTTCCACTGCAACGTGTCGCTATGGACATCATGGGACCACTGCCCAGAACAAATCGAGGTAACCTCTACATTGTTGTGATTACTGATTATTTCACGAAGTGGGTAGAAGCGTTTGCCATCCCGGATATGACTGCTAGGACAATAGCTTCGGCACTGATTGATGGTTTCATTTGTCGCTACGGTGTGCCACTGTCTATCCACACTGATCAAGGTGCGCAATTTGAGTCAAATTTGTTCAAATCCATTGGTGAACTGTTAGATATGAAGAAGACACGCACGACTCCATATCATCCTTCTAGTGATGGTTTAGTTGAACGGATGAATCGTACACTTGAGAACATGCTGAGTGCCAGAGTCAATGCCAATCACAATGACTGGGACCTGCATATTCAACGCTGTTTACTGGCGTATCGTAGTAGCGTACATAGTTCAACCAAGGAAACCCCAGCTAGATTGATGTTCGGCAGAGAGCTTAAGTTGCCAGTGGATATTATGTTTAACGACTCCAGAGAACATGTCAAATCTGTACCTGACTATATGATTGGTCTCGAGATCTCCTTGCAGCAGGCATTTTCTCACGCTCGATCAGCTGGCGCTAAAGCACAGAAACGTCAGAAGGACTACTATGATGCAAAGACGACCAAGCCACGGTTTGCGATCAATGACAAGGTGCGCTTACACAACCCAGCTGTGAAAGCAGGCAACACAAAGAAGTTCCTCAAGCCATGGACCGGGCCGTATCGAGTTGTCGAGGTGATCGATGACGTGGTGTACAGGATTGAGCACTGTGATACAGGGAAACTCCAGGTGGTGCACATCAACCGGCTCAAGTCAACGACTCAAGTACCGGAGGAGCAGCACGCTCCAGTGCCAGCACACCTACCTCAACCGGCGCTAATTGATTACGTGCAAGACGCAGTTCCGGCTATTCCAGTTCCGCCTGTTCCGGTTCCGGCAGTTCCGGTTATTCCAGTTCCGGCAGTTCCAGCTGTTCCAGTTCCGGCTGTTCCAGTCCCGGCTGTTCCGGCAGCTCCCGTTGTGCCGGCCGTTCCGATCATGCCACAGGCAGGTGGGTATAACTTACGCAATCGGGCAAATCTCCAGAGGCCGGTGCGATACCGTCAATGAGAGTCAAGAACAATTGATATGTACAATTTTCTTGTGAAGATTTGAGAGATTGAGATTTGAGTTTTTTTAGATATAGTGTTGGGTTGGCTTAACACACAGTTTATATAGCTTCTTCCTTGGGTTCTTTCGTTTCATTTTTATTTTTACAATACTCACATTATCACGAGGACGTGATTCAATCTGGGAGGGGGCCATGTAGAGCATGCAGATTCTTCAACCTTGTACCTGTTGCATTGTAGTCAAGTGCCTGTGTCACTGTAGCTTGGTGTGTTAAAACCTGTACAGTCATAAGACTAGTATCCTTTGCATGTGAAGTTCGAACCTACCTTTTTCAGAAGCTTTCCTTTTTTTCTTTACTTTCTTCCAATACATGTCTTCTGATTGGCCGAATCTGTGCCATCTCTCTATCTCCTGATTGGTCTAGACCGTTGCTCGTTGTTATGTGAAACCTGAACTCTCTTAGTCTTGGCACATATAAAAAGCTCTGTCTCTGAAGAAAGATCATCCTTCATTTCTTCAACCACTTCTCCTTGCTCTGGTGAGACTTGTTGGTTGTTGTGTGCCCAACCACTTGGGCCACGCTACATATACATGACATTGTTGAACAAAAACTCAACTCCAGTTGTGACCAGCAACAACAACGGTCTAAAGGCACTTTTAGATATCCAAAGAGTGTCAATGTCATCACTACGGTACAAAACATCCATGCAGGTGTCAACAGTGCATTCCTAATCCCAGCGTGCTCACAAGCATTACTCATACATTCCATATTTGGCAATGCACAATGGGTCTTGTCGACAGCTTGACACGCTTAACGAGTTTTCGCGACTAGCCTGGGTGTTCTAGCCTGGGTGTTCTAGCCTGGGTGTTCTAGCCTGGGTGTTCTAGCCTGGGTGTTCTAGCCTGGGTGTTCTAGCCTGGGTGTTCTAGCCTGGGTGTTCTAGCCTGGGTGTTCTAGCCTGGGTGTTCTAGCCTGGGTGTTCTAGCCTGGGTGTTCTAGCCTGGGTGTTCTAGCCTGGGTGTTTTGAGAAAATCACACTGTCAAGCTGCCTGTTTTTGGCGGAAACATTCTCAGCTATGGCAGAATAATGCACCAATCTCTCTTTCTCTTCTCCTTCATGTGCTCCCAGCTGACACATGGCTACCCTCAGTAGCCCTTACACAAACACACACACACACACACGCACACCTTGAGCTTTGAGCCTTTAACGCCCATTGCCATAGCAATGATAGCGATGGCTTCCTCACGCTGAGGCTCTAAACTCGAAATCTGCAGTATGGCGCATGCCGTTTGAGGTCACCAGGACAACGGAACACTCTGTAACAGCGGTAGTTGAGGCACGGGATGTCCGGGGCTTTCTTCTCGACCCTCTGCCGACAACACTGAAACCAGGTGGATCTTTCCTGAGCTGTGTCATACCAGTCCGCTTCAGACAAACCGATGACAGCAAAGTCCGAGGACACAACATCCCGCCAGCGCTTCTTGGGACCATGTTGGGGGCGTTTGCAGGGCAATTCGCCGAACAGCATCTGCTTGGACAGCCCGGTCTCCTTCATCCGTGCAACATGACCAAGCCACCGCAAGCGGTGCTTCCTGATCACATCGGCCAAGTCGACGCTCACCCCTGCCAGCTCACTCCGCGATGCTGACGACAATCCCTCCTACCATTGCTCACGACGAGAGATACCGAGAATATGTCGTGCCCTCTTGAAATATGCTGTCAAAAAATCTCCTGCACTGACTTGTAGACATCCAGAATGTTTTTCCTTTTTCTGTTACTTCTGTCAAAAAGAACGCCTCTCAATCGCAGCAAAGTTAGGAGCCAGGAGGGAAGAAAGGAAGAGCATAGGTTATACACTCAGTTTTCCACAAACAGCTGGTGCCAATCCAATACAGATATGGCACGCAAGAGTGGTGTGAACTTACTGGTTATAGGACCTGGGAGCCCCAACCGGAAACGGCGTCCCATAGCCAATAATGTTTGAGCATGCATGCGTGCACATAAACACACACACAGACACACACACATGCACACACATGCCAATAACCATGCACAAACACACAAACACACACACACACACACACACACACACACACACACACACACAAGCAAACACAACGAAAAAAGCACACACATTAGTGAATGGCACATTATTTCCAAAGTTGCTAATATTCCTTTTTTACACCAGTGCACTCAGGCTTATGAATACTGACACATTACTATCATATCAGTGTCAATCTACTGCCTGGATGTTCATATAAGAATTTTGCCCAATTTTTGATCAAATTTGATCAAACTGTACATCGTGAAGTACACAGATATAATTATAACGAGCTGAATTCTAATCTAAATCACAATCGAATATAATGTCACAAACACAACCACAGCAACATGTTTAGACATATCGTTGACGTGGCAGAGCGACATTCAACTAGGCGGAACCGCAAAAGGACAGAATTGAATCCCATTTTCTAATTCAACTGAAAGGACGCTGATGAGCGTCGAGAGGCACCCTACACTGCAGGCATGTAAACGAAATTTGCTTACGTTCTCCGACAACCTCAGTAGCTGGATAAGAGCAAAGAAGAGACAAACAGAGCACAGAATGCTAGCCACCCGGCCTCAATACAAAAGACTGTTGCCAAGTGTACTGCCCCGAGCATTACTGGATCTGCTCAGGAAGACCGTCCTCCTCATTCCCTAGGGAACGCACAACGACCAGCAACACCAGAAACAGTTGAGGACGCCGTGCGTACCGGTGGCGGCGGCTGGGGAGGGGGGGGGATACGGCTCACAACCACAAGTTGCAGGCTATATTCCAGCCGCCGCTCATTTCAGGCGGAGCATCGGGAATAGATCACAATTCATGAAGCTGCCTAACTGTGCAGACAACAAACCTACTGCATGCTTTTGAAAGGAGTGATTCTGAAGCAACAGAAAAAGCTGTTCCAGTATTTTTTGTTTATTTCTCTCAAGTTTCAGGTAGATGTCCTCTGCAGTTGACAACCGCCATCCGAGAGCATGCTTTACAAGGTTCTACCGGGTTCTACAATGTGAAGAAGAGGTTGGTGCGACTTCGGTGAAACTTGGGGAATTGTGTGTTGCTCCCTACATGGCATCTCGCGCTTTTTCTGCCGACTTGAATTCGGACTCGACTGACTCACGCCTGCCAATGCAGTGATGTAATCAGAGCACATCTAGGGCACCAGCTTTGCACTTTTGATCGGATCTCACCAAGCACAACTGTAGTAGAGCATCAGACAAACAGTCCTGGCAACTGAAATCCGACCCCTTAGCAATGGGTTCACATTCTAGCGGTCTCAATTCCGTAGTTTTAGTATCCCGTGTTGGGTCTTTGCGATGTGAGCGCAACCGCCGCTCAGCGGTCGGATTTCAGTTGCCAGCGCAGTACATTACTATGGATCCTTGTTGTTTAGGTCTTAGTGTTCCCTGTGCTCCCTGTGCTCCCTGTGCTCCCTGTGCTCCCTGTGCTCCCTGTGTTCCCTGTGCTCCCTGTGCTCCCTGTGCTCCCTGTGCTCCCTGTGCTCCCTGTGCTCCCTGTGCTCCCTGTGCTCCTCAACTGGAGTTGCACCGTGTTAGGCGTTCCTTTAGCTGACTAGCACAATCCGCCTGATGAGATGGCAACAAAGGTGTTTGAGGATACCTAGACTTAGTCAATGATGTGTGCACATAATAGAGAGGTTAAGATGCACGTTATTTCCGACGTGACGCACAATTTCACGTCAAATTTGGCGTAAAACTTCAAATTTCGACGTGAGCAGCAGGTCGCTCGCGTTGATTTTTCGACGTGCGAGCAAATAACGCGAGCTGAACTTTCGCGTCACGTCGGAAATAACGTGCATCTTAACCTCTCTAATGTATTCAATTCAAAAATAGGTTTACTTAGGCAGGGGCTTCGGAAGGTAATTTAGTGGGGTAAGGTCAGCCATCTGAACTTCAATTTACTCGTCGGGGAGGGGTTACCGAGCCGAACATTTTGGAAATTTAGAGCCCAAATCAGTTCACTTTATTGAGTCACGGGGTAATTGGGGCAACTAGTGGTACGGTCAATACCGTAGTGACCGTACCGCTCGCGACGGCCCTGTTAGGTATTCAGAAATCGGATGTTGAGCCAAGAGTACCTATTCAGAAAGAAGAAAGGATCAATAGGCTACGAGCTATGATTAACAGCCAACCAAATTTGTCGCTCTATCTGACTGTAAAATATCTCATTACCTTGGTGGACAGTTACTCGTAACTGCTAACATATAGATCCTTTCTCACTCATGTGTTCATGAAGCAAAGAAATGAAAAAATCAAGCTCTCAGGTCTTCCTCGACTCAACTCACAAGTGCACCACACGGTAAATTCAACCGGCGGTGTCATTCCGGGCCCAAGAGGTTTGGCGTCCCATCTGACCACTCTGCCATGTTCCAGCTCGGGTGTGAATGTTGTCCAAGCCGTAGTCGGAGACCTAGCGTCCCGGGTGAGGAACACTGCGGGCTTGTCTGCGAGGTGACTTGTTAGCAGGTCATCTACGTGCTGCTTGATACGCTCCGGATAGTTCCTGTAAGTGTCCATTTCGAATATATTCGAGCCACGCCAGGCCTGGTGGCAAAGGTGTCGTGCAGTTTTCTGATTTCCAGCAAAGGTAGGAAAGTACACCTTGCGATACACCTTGCCGTTTGAATACATGTGCAGGTCCACTGTTAACACCAACCACACACACAACGAAAACACAATCGTCTGAGCACTACTTTGTGGGAAACCTAGAGGCTAATAAAAAAACCCTGAAAGCAAGGAGGTCCAAAGGTTCAACATTTTGGCATCTGGGCGCAAACCTAGAAAACATTTGATTGGTATAGGTTGGTTCACATAAGGAAAATCGGCGCCGCAAGACAACGCAAGACATCGGCGGTGAGCCAGCTCCCGATCCGTTGCGCATATGGTTCGAGTACCAAATCTACTACAAAGTAGTACAGAATGTGCCCTAATGCTACGACAGGCTCGCCAATTGAAGCTTGAATTCTTTGTTTCTTCAGTAGTTGAAGGTCTTTGGTGATGGCCACTTGGTGCGACCTTTTACTGGAGATCATGAAACTACTTCTACACATTTTATTGCAGTCTAGTAAGCGATTGTGTCGAAATTTTGCTTGCAAATGTTGATAAGTCACAAGAACTTGCCAATGTATCCATCATATTTTTTATTTGTTTCAATTGTATTTGTCTCATAAGTTGCACACTGGTCAAGCAGATCATCCGAGAAGGACGGGCTGTGTTGCGGTGCGACTTGGTCCCGCAACTAACCATCGTCAGGCAGACCACAAAAACCCAGAAACTCCTTTAATCGACATTACCACTCGTTTTCAACAAGAACACCAAAGAACACACCGAACAACGATCGCCAAATCGCTGTCCTGGGCAAAACGTGCAGCGTGCGTGCATTTGGCTTGCGCTGCATGCATGCACACAACGACGTGGCATAGAGAGAAAAATGCAGCGTACAGAAAATGCATGATCATCGTAGCCATAGAGATACTAAATATGGCGACTGCCAAAGTCCGCGTGCAGCGCGGACGAGTACGAGTGCATGCAACGAAAAGAAAAGCAATAATTTGAAATGCAGGACAAGCAGAAACTAATAATGACTTGCAATGTGCTGGAGTGAAAGAATAAAGAATTGTTGGCTACGGAGGTGAAAACAGTGTCTGTCAAGGGGTGCTTGCACCCAGCGACAGGGTGACAGCACACCCTGTCAGCGAGAGTAAGTTTCGCCAAGTAGATCGTAGCGGAGTTGCCGCGGATGGCGATAATGCAACGGATCAAGTACTAGTAAGTACATGTACATTGCAACCAATTAGTGTGTCAACAATTCTACTTATATAATACATTAGAACAATTCACAAGATATTCCGCTCGTGAACATGGCGTGGTACGAACACGCATAGCAATTACTGTGTCGTAAAATGCGTCTCGACGTAGACGTAACAGACATGCACTCGTGATGTAATTCTAACGGACTAACAAAATAATTATTACACTCGCGAAATGCATAGCAGTAATACGCACCGCACCAGTATTGCAAGCGACCTAGCATGTCTTGACAATACTGCCCTTGCAGCATGTGACAGTTCTGTACACAATTCGTAACTACAATACACTAATAGTATCAACGTGCAACATGTGACAACATGAAAGGATAATGTTCAAGAGTGCAGTCTCCTGTCCATTCTCCCCACCTTGATGAACCGCGGGGGCTTCAACACAACGGACATAGCTTAGCAATAGGCCGCACAAGGCTCTTACCGGTTGCTAGACGCAGCTTCACCACTCGTACATGGTTATCCTTACCGGGATAGACTTCCATTACTCGTGCTAACGGCCATTGCCCACGTGGTGTATCGTTAGATGCCACAACCACCACGTCGTTGACCTTCAGGTCTGGCAGCTCTTGCCTCCATTTCTTGGCCGGGTTGAGAAGAGGTACCCACTCTCTCATCCAGCGAGTCCACACTTGACCAATCAGATGCTGCACAGCGCGCCAGCGCCTGCGCGGGCTGAAGCTACTTTCGCTGCAAGCTGGTGCGAACTGACCACCGACTTGGCCGATGAGGAAGTGGTTTGGCGTCAATGGAATGTCGTCCGACGGGTGAGCTGACTGATACGTTAGGGGACGCGAGTTGAGCATGCTTTCAGCTGAGGCAAAGCACGTTGCTAGCTCTTCATCGGTGATATCTGCTCGGGTGAGTATGGCGTAGGCTGCTCTCTTGGCGCTCTTGACCATGGACTCGTGAATTCCTCCGAAGTGAGGTGCTGCTGGTGGGTTAAAGTGCCAAGTCACTCCAATAGCAGACAACTTGTTGGCTACTCGCTGCTGGTTGACTTCGCCGACCAACTGTTGCAGCTCATTGACTGCGCCGACGAAGTTGGTGCCGTTATCCGAGATGATATCTGTAGGCGTTCCACGACGACTGACAAACCGACTCAAGCAGTTGAGAAATCCATCGGTGGTGAGGTCATTCACCAGCTCGAGATGAACTGCTCGCGTAGCGGTGCAAGTAAAGACAGCCATGTACCGCTTACACTGGGCTCGTCCTCGACCCTGCTTCGTGAAGAATGGTCCGCAGAAATCAACCGCGGTTGTAGCGAACGCACTCAATGACGGCTTCGTACGGTGACTCGGTAGGGGAGCCATGACCTGCTGCAGGGTCTTTGCTTTCTGCCGTCGACACGCTTGACACTGCTGCTCATACTCACGAATAGCTTCTCTGGCCGAAACTATCCAAAACCGTTGGCTGAGCGCTGCCAAGGTCTGGTTGGTTCCACCGACGTGAAACAGGCGGACGTGTGCTCGTTTCACTATCAAAGTGGTTACTCTGCTCGAGCGGGGCAGAATGATCGGGCACCTGGCATCATCCGAAATATGCTCTGCATAGCGCAACCGACCACCACACCTCAGAATACCATCTTCGTCGAGCTGCGGCTGTAAGCTGCTCAGCACACTCTTAGGAGAGATAGGCTTTCCCCGCTGTAGAGCACTGATTTCCTCTGGGAAGGCTGACTGCTGGCACTGACGTATGATGACATACTCGGCACTGCGGATCTCATCTACGGACAGGGGGCCTGACACTCGCTCAGTGTTCAGGCGTCTTGCGTTGCTTGAGAAGCGATTGATCCAGGCAATGACCCGGGCCAGCTTGAGGAGGCTGCTGTAGCGCTCTGGATCCAATGCGGGCAAGGCGGCGATCGCCAGATAACTGAAATGAGCTATCTCAACTGCAGGCTTCTTCAGCTCTGCCGCCGCTGTTGCTGACAATGCCTTTCCTGGGGACGGCGTGTGTAACCCGGACATGTCTGGACCGCACCACCAGAACTGGGAATCTGCGAGCTGACTTGCAGACATACCACGCGTCAACAGGTCGGCTGGGTTGCGGGTAGTAGCTACATGCTTCCACTGGTCGGGATCACTCGCTGTCTGAATCGTGCCGACTCTGTGGGCAACGAACGGCTTGTGCTTTCGGCTCTGTCCACGAATCCAGTAGAGGACATCAGCACTGTCAGACCAGAACGTGACAGTACTCATCGTGAGATCAAGCGAAGGTAGAAGAGACTTCACTAGCTGCAAACCAAGAACTGCGGCCATCAATTCCAGCCTCGGAATACTGTGGACAGCAAGCGGGGCGACTTTCATCTTCGACGCGACGAGACGCATTGAGTCGCTGCCATCGCTGAACTGCTGCCGGATGTAGACGACTGCGCCGAACGCCTTTTCGGAGGCATCCACAAACACTTCCACGCTGCTAGTTGCTGTTGTCGCTGCTGATTGTCGCAGGCACCTCGGAATTTGAACTCTTTTCAAATCCGGTAGCTCGGCGCACCACGCTTCAGCTGCGCTGATGAGATCCTCTGGCAAGTCGGCGTCCCAATCGAAGCCTTCGATCCACATGGATTGGAACAGGACTTTGGCTCGGACGATGTACGGAGCTAGAAACCCGAGCGGATCAAATATGGTTGCCAGAATACGCAGAAACTGCCGCTTCGTCAGACGTGTGAAATCTGGCACCTTGTACTGAAATGTAAACATGTCGATCTCGGCCTGCCAGAGGACGCCGAGCGTCTTGATGTTCGGCAGCTGTTCGTCCGTGAGCTCCAGTTGACTTGCCCGATCCGCTTGTGGGATCTCCGCCAGAACCTCCGCCGAGTTAGAGAGCCACTTCCGCGCGTGCATGTTCGCTTGGCCCCAGAGATCCGACAAATCCGCATATAAGGACTTGGCTGCTGTAACATCAGGTGCTGACGTCATGCTATCATCCATGTATGTGGAGTCCAGCACGACACTAGCGGCTTGCGGCATCTCTGAGCTGAGCGATCTGGCATGCTGCTGCGACACGTACTGCGCTAGGAATGGCGAAGCATTGACACCGAACACCACGCTGCAGAATTCGTAAACTTCCGGTGGCTTACTTGGGTCTGTGCGCCACAGAAATCGATGGTAGCGCCGGTCGTCTGGATTTAGGCTGATACGGAGGTACATCTGGGCAATATCGCAGACCAGTGCTATCGGCTCACGACGGAACCTAACCAGTACATTCACCAGGTCTTGCTGTAGTTTGGGGCCGGGCAAGATGAAGTCGTTCAATGACTTGCCGTTCGACTTCGCCGCGGCGTCGAACACGATGCGTACTTTTGTTGTGGTCTTGTCCGGCTTGACTATCGGGAAGTGGGGCAAGTACCACGCGTTTCCGTCGTTGACGTCTGCGGCGTCAACCCGGCGCACATAGCCCTGGCTGATGTGTTCCGCTATCGTAGCGGCGTAGACTTCTCCGACTGCTGCGTCTCGCCTCAGCCGCTGCTCGGTGTTGGCCAAACGCTTCAGAGCAGTGTGGTAGCTAGCATTAGCTCCGGGCGGGTGATCCTTCCATGGAATGCCAACACTGTATTGGCTTCCAATGTGCTTGATCGACTTTGCGACCGTCTCCTGTGCATGTCGCTCATCTGGGGTTAGAAGTGCCGCTCCATCTGCCGCGGGCTGACTGTCTACTTCCCAGAACTTCCTCACCAGCTGAGTGAGGTCGGCGTCTGACTGAGTCATCAGACAATGGTGCACGCTGGCCGACACCCGGGAGTCTCCCGCCGTTTGACTGATGGGACCCACACATGTCCAGCCGAGTGGTGTTCTCCGGGCACTTGGCTCACCTGGACC